CATTTGAGTGGCGATGAGGGGTGTTGTGAGTCTTGGGAATAATATTTCATTATACAATATGTGCAAGGAATATATCTACGAATATATAAAAAAGCTAAAAATAATTATTTATTTATTTAATTACTACCATCTTCAGTGCAATTTATTTTCTAAAAGAAAACTCATAATTTTATTTATTTAAATGGATGTCACCATGGTCAAATCAATTTTTATACCTTTTGAGCAGATCCCTTTTTGACATTTTTTTATCAGGTTCAGTTCCAGTAAGTCAAGGCTATCGAAACTCTAATACATTGAAAGTATTAGCAGGGACATGAACACCCTGTAACTGAGAAGTACTTTGTTTAACAAAGGGATGAACGATAACCCGTACGCAAAAGTTTCGGTTAGAATTGTCAACTGGGCCTTAAGAAGCTAATAAAAACTTTGACAGAAATCTCTGGTAGTGTTGTTGGGTAATTACCGGCGATTTAACCGGTATGTGGCTTGTAGGCTTATATAATATTACAACTTAATTAAATGTTTAAATAGGGTGAGACCATGAAGCATTTTTAATGGTCACCATGTCTATGCCACTGAAGCAAATGAACTGTTCAGGAAGAATCTTTATTTTTCCCCATGACTACATTTTGATAGTTTCTGGACCAATAATGAATCATATTATCGTAAAATGCTAAAGATTAGTTGTAATATTGGTAATATTATATTATTTTGTTTATAATATTTGTTACTAGAATATTAAAGCATAGTATTTTGGAAATTTGATCCGTACAGCTTTCAGTAATTCGATTCGGTATTCATATATATAGAACTAATGTTTAAGAGCCTCTAATTTCTGCTAAATATTATTACATATAATAATATATCTTATTATATTAATCATATCATGTTCCCAGCTAATTCTATGTTTAGTTTGTCATTGCGGCAAAGTCCGAAATTTAATTTAAAAAAAAAACACAATTCGCATAATTTTGTAGTTTTTGTTTTGTATTAAGTTAACCGGATAAATAAAAACTACGATCGCGTACTATAGTATCATTATACCCCTGAAATAATTAAATTGAAATGCAAAGGTTTTTGCTTATCAAACGTTCCGTGGGCTATACGTTTGAAAAGTTTACTTTTGTTCAATTTACATTTTGTTGTAAAATTTAATTTCTTATGCTCAGACGGGGAAATCACGTTATATAAGTACTATATCCAAACTGTCTTCTTATTTTAATTTTAAACACTAATTGCTCTCAATTTATGAAGCAATTAAATATTTGCTCACTTAGTGTAAAATTGCAACTCTGTGAGGTGTGTTTAATGAAGGAATTGTTATCAAAAACAAGAAAAAACTTTAACTTCGACTGCATTGAAGCTATAATACCCTTTACAGGTGCATTTTTTATGGCTTGAAAGGGTATAAAAAAATCTTTATCATGAGTTTGATCGGTCAGTTTGAATGGCAGCTACATGCTATAGTTGTCCGATATCCGCCATACCGACAATGAGCAGCTTCTTGGGGAGAAAAGAACGTATGAAAATTCGCGTATATACAAAAGGACAAACCGACAGACATGGCTAAATTGTCTCAGCTCTTCCCGCTGATCATTTATACATATATATATTTTTGTTGGTTCTCCGACATTTCCTTCTGAGTGTGACAAACTTCGTGGCAAACTTAATATATCTTATTCAGGGTATTAAAATTACAAAAAATCGAATAAGCTTCATCCTTTAAAACCAAATAATGTCATTAAATTATATCAATCATATGGTTTTTGCCAAATCAGTTTATTCTTCTTTCTTTTTCTGGAATAGAAGAATAATAAATGACTACCAAGGATCTCTATATTCTAATTTCAAATATTCACCTTCCAATCTACACTTCACACCTTATTCACACTTCAAAATTAAATCTTTTCTGAATATTCATCTACTTCTGTTACTTATTGCAACATAGTTTTTATATACAAGTAATATTTGCTAAAAATAAAAAAGTCCCCTTTTACCACAACATTTATTGATTAATAAAAAAAAAAGACAACAACAAAAATAAAATGAAACAACCAATATAATGTACCATATAAAAAGCAGAGCGGGTGCGCTGAGTCAACGTTGATGTGATGCTGATGAGAAATGAAGTGTCGCCACTTCCCTTGAGACAGTTTCTTTTTATATGCTTACAGCCAAGGAACCAGCGGTGTTGGTGATGTCTCTGATGGCAGCCACCTTCACCGCGTTCGTTCACTTACAGGTGGCAGATAAATTAAGGAAAGCAAAAACCAAAAACAAAAAAAACATTTATGAAGGCGTCGAAATTTTATTAGATTCACTGCCGTTAAATGGACATGTCCATATACACACACACACACACACAAACACATCAAATATTATATATAAATATCAGCGCGAACGCTAGTAAATTTAGTGCTCTGTGCGTAGCTTTAGAGTCAAAAAGAAAAAAGTCGAAGTGAAAAACTAAAACTATATTGCGTTCAGCGATGGCTTTGAGACTGTAAATGATGTTGTACATCTCACTGTCTATATTCGTGTTCTTTTTGCCATTATTTTGTTCGGTTCCTTGGTAGCAGCCCCTAGTAGCGACGTGCGCCAAAACGGATGATTCATCCATCGCCGTTGGCCACTACTATTGGCCATTCATTTTTTGACTACTTGCCAAATGTGATGCTTTCGGATTGCATATACTTGTATGTATGTTGTTTTTGTTGCATGATTACCTCAGTGTTGCACGCAAATACTGAATTACCCTGTAAACAAAAGCGTGTCGAATGCAAAGAAGAAATGCCAAAAAACTTTTTTTTTTTGTTATTATTTACTTTTCTTTTTAATCAAATTACTTTATTTCCGCCTCAAAATCCCACGATATTGAAATTTTTTTCGATATTTGGCTGTTAATCATGATCTGTAGCGAATGTTTTCTTTTCGGACAAACATAAATAACTGGAAAGAATTTCGTTTTGCAGAAATTTCTGTTCTCATCTGCGGGTGATTTCAATTTAGCAGCATACCTTAACGGTTTACGTATGTAACTAAGTGTTTTTACAAGAATTTAAGTGAAGGCAAAGTGAGAATTCCAGATAGCAAACGTCACTCACCCGTCGATTTCGCTGCTGCTATGGAAAAATTCATTCATAGTTCAATATATACTAAATACATACCATATATATTCAGCTAAAAATAGCCTCTTCGTGTACGCTTTGCTTTAAATTTAGCTCTACACTGTTTAGAAAAATAATTAATTTAAGTTGATGCGGTATTTCAGGGGAAAAAACAGTAATGTTATAAGCTTTGCAATACTTCAACGAAATTGAAATTGATAACAATAATAGTAGTGATCTAAGCATGTAAAATTATTTACTTTGCTGTATGGATGTTTCAATAAGTTTATTCTGGAGCATTAATCATAAAACATCTTTACTTCATCAGTATTTCACAACTGGAATCATTTTATAAATTAACGTAATATTATTATTTTTTGAGCTACCTCGAACAAAATATACTATGACGTTTGAAAGTACCTGCCGAGGTACAATTATTGTAAGAAAATATCATTGCCTTAGCATTTCATTTTTCACCATGTGAGAGCCACGCATTAGCCTAAGGGTTCGACAACCAACTGAACAACCGACTTTTTGCTTTGATCCCTCTTCTCACTGTCACTACTGGTTGTCATCTTCTCTACTACGGCACTGCAGTGAAAAGTATTCGATGAATTTTTTTCGGACTAGTTCGCGTATGTACCGACAGACGGGCGATTCTGCTCGCATTGCTGTTAATTTAAATATTTTATAGGGTCTCCGACGCTTCCTTCTGGATGTTGTTCGTTACAAATTCAATCCTTTGCACTCAAGACCTTTTTCGCTTGCGCGATCCAGCAACTCGAGACCATTTCCGCCGAATAAGGTCAACATTTTACTTAAAAAATATACACAAGTACAAAATTTTATTTGTTTATTCATTTAGATGCCAAAACCAACAAACTTTGAGTATTAGGCGCTGCAGCATCGCTGCTCGAGTTCACACTTAAAATCGGTCGGGCGCCGCAGCATCGCCGCTCGAGTTGACACTTCATATTGGCTGGGCTTATCGGCGCCGCTCGAGTGCAAAGTGTTAGCTACTTCTACACTCTTGATCGATCGAGTCTAATGCGTTCAGCATCTTGAAAATACTGTAGGTTGGCAAAGATCAGTCTAGCTAGATAAGACTTTTACGATCTTGTTGTCGATGTAATGTTGCCATCGAAATCATCTAACAGGAGGCCCAGGAAACTTGCTACTTCGACGGAGTCGGTCCATAGGTGGAGTGATGTTAGATGAGTTAGATTCATTGGGCATGCAAAGAGGTGTTTAGAGTTAAGCGGGGACTCATGGCACGTAAGGCATATATTTGGTATAACGGGGTCGATTCTGGATAGGAGGAGAATAGGTGTATATCCCACAACACTCTTCAAAAGGAAGATGCGCAATTGTCACTATATATTCGAAGCAACTCGAATTCTTCGGTTCAAGAACATAGATCAGAGTGCGACTCAAATAAGAAACTTGTGTTGCTGTAAATATGCACAAAGAACCTAGAGTAACTAAAATACATTTTTTCGAACTCATTTTTCTTTTCTCATTACAATTTCCAAAAGTTTTTCAGAAATTATAAATAATATGAGAATTTCGAAATTGAACTTGTGCTCTTTCAGATTTCACATGCCCTTTATATTTGTAACCTCATTATTTTCCGTTCGTTTCGAAATATATTTCTTAAAACCTTTTTGTCGCCATTGTCAACATAGCCTTTGTTATTCCTTCTTTACGAGTCGTTTCCGTGATCGCCGTTATCAAACTCATCAGGCTCATCCTTATCAATGTCACCCACATTTTGTTCAAACTCAAATCAAATGCGATTTCAATCAAAAGTTTTCTCTTTACTTCTCTCATACTGCTTATGAACATACAATTTTTGAATGCATATGTATTTGTTTGGACTATATGCACATTTAGGCATCTGGACACCCGGCACGCAAACACCCAACACATCCTTTACCAATTTGAACGACATACATCCGAAGGTCAGCACACCCACCCCACCGCCACCGCCACTTCCAGCAAAAGGCGTCGGGCATACCGTTTGGACGCCACAGCCATCTCCGACTAGCGGTCGTAAAGAATTTCGTCCTGTGCGTTTCGAATCACCAACACTGCCACGTCGTTACGTCTCGCCGCAAACCAACGACGGTACTAGTCAAATACCGCCACCCTGGCGTCAAAGCGCCACAACCACTGACGGCGATAGCTCCTATGCAGCGCCCTCACCACGCTCCGCCTACAGTTACACGAATCTCAGTACGCCAACAACTACGATCGGCTCGGCTGGCAGCACGAACTACTGCGACTCCATACCATCTGAATCGTCATTGCTGAATCACGTGGGCACCGGTCCCAGTCAGAGTGTTGCGGATAAAATTAAAAGTATGGATGGTTAAAAATGTATCGCTATCACTTAACGGTTACATTAAATGTTGTTGTCCTTGTGCTGTTTTTGTGTGATTTCATTTCATATTTTGAGCATAAAGAGTGAATTGTGCCTATGAAATCGCCTCACTCACGAACATATCATACATAGTAGAATGTTTTTTGTGTTCGGCTGCATGTGCGAAATTGTGAAATTCAGACAATTTGTGTAAACAATTTACATTTGTTCAACCCTTTGGGGCTGGGTAACGTCTCGTGTTTTGGTCAATTTATAATTGTTGCAAATATTGTCTCGGGCACATTATAATGAAGTTCTCTCATCTCTAACCACATAACATTTTCTCACACCCTCTACAGCGTTCGAAAGATCAGCCTCTACATCGGCATTATACTCGCCGGCGGCGCGACGCCGACACGACACCGCTCAGCCATTTTACAAACCCAATGAAGTCAGTAAGTATTGCCAATATGATGATCGAAAGACACGGCGAACTCCGTTGCGTACTTATGGTGTTCGACTGTCTTCGTATTTTATACTAACGATCACTTTCACGACGACACTTGCACACTTTCTGGTGGCAAAACAACTCTGTGTTTTATCTTTTTATGATTTCTATGATTTTTTGTGGGAACTTGTGGGATTTGAAAAGCGTCGGTAGCACATGTTTTGTGTTTAAGCGAGATTTTTAAATAGGTGTATAATATATATATACAAGTATTATCGCTTGTCGAGAAATAGTATTAGACCGAGTGTAAAAAGAGCGCAAATTTTTAGTGAAATAATATTTTATTTTTTTTTCAAGCAGAAAATTTTTCTAAAATAATTAGAGTGTGTACGTTGTGTTTTTGCATGTTATCTACTTTTTGTTATTGTTATTAAATGTCGTAACTTTTATCAATATCCATGTTGCCTAGTAATCTTACAAAATCTTATATGTTTTATTGGAAATTTTATTCCGAACCGAAATTCATACAAGCAATTGTATAAAAATATGAACTAATAGAAACTACAACAACAAATCCTCACTCTATAATACTGAATTTGCAGTTTTTAAAGTTAAACATGAGTACATGAGCGAACCGGAAACGGAGCACGATCGTCCAAGAAAAATGGCACAATTGGGTCGACGGCAGGTCGACGGCATCGGACCGGTTACCAACGATGGAATGCCCATCATATTGAGATCGGTAAAAAGCGCAAACTCATACACACATTACAAACAAATAAGCATATTAGATATTTATCGTATTGAAAAATTTCATTTTTTAACACTTCACAACAAATTCGAAACGATTCGAAACGCAACGATCGCTCATTTTCGATGTCTAATGGCGTATATGATGTGTTGTTATTCGGTCACGCGTCCCAGGAGGTGAAGGAGCCACATCAACATGAATGGTATAAACGACTCTATCAGACGATACACAAGCAGAAGAGCGGCGGTAATGAATATAAATTATTTAATCATTCGAAAATAATAAATTTTATCTGTAGTAGAGGTTAAGTAAATGAGGTTGTAATAGACCAGTGTCGATTTGTGTAGAAAAAAGCTAAGAGAAATTAAAAAATAATGAGTTTTTTCTAGGTGTTAGATAAGTATATGCAATGGTTGTAGATCACTATTTTAAAAATATTATCGCATTAATCCAGAAATATGAACTTAGAAGCAATTGAATAGCATTATGAATAAAACTTACATTTAGCTTCAACGGTCTGAAGACATTACTCATCAAAACATTTTTTAAGGCTTTTTGCGCTTGCGTTCAAAATTTTATAAAAGCTGCAAATTAATTAGATTTCACTAAATTGAAATCTTATGAATAAATATACGCGGCAGTTACAATCGATAATTAATCGATGGCATTCACAAAACATCTTCAAAAAAAATTTTTTTGTTTGATTTTTGATTACAATAAAGCTTAAAGTTTTTAACAATATATTTAAAATTTTTCAATGTAATATTTGGTATTAGAAATTTGAAAAATATTTCGAAGTAAGATTTTCGGGATTAGAAATAAAAAAAATTTAATTAAAATATGAATTGAACTATTTTTAATGCATTATTTGCAAACTTAATTATCATATAATGGTAATTGCGGACAGTGACACATTAAGAACAGTTTCTCAATTCCGCCACTTATAAATGTACGTATGTATTTGCCATACCAAAACTTAAAAGGTGGAAGTATTTCGAAACCTATTTCAGACGACCATCACTAAAAATTATCAGAAAAAAAATTTTAATAACCTTAAGGCAAAAGAACATCGTGATTAAGAAGTTATCGAAAAATTTATTTCGATTCAAAATGGACATCACTAACCAAATACATACATATATCCCACTTTCATTTTTCTCCAACATTTATACAGTAATTGAGCTCTATGTGACGAATTTCTTGTTGTGCTGTCACAAACCAATTTTTTTAATTAATCGAGCGGCACTAATTTATAGTAAATGAAGAAAATGTGCATAAAATTTATTGGCGTGCCATATTTAGTAGCATTTCCGCTCGTTTAACGGAAATGAAAATAGCAAGCGTATATAACTAGATGTGCACAAACTATATGAAAACGTATATCTGTACAAAAAAAATATTTCGTGGAACGTATGGCAGAACCAGCAATAGCCATATAAATAACGCAATCAGAGATCGAAATTAGAGAAATCTTAATTGCCATAGAAAATATCAAAAGAAAAAGTATTTTCATACAAAATAAAATTAATAAGTTAGGTAATTTATTCGCTTTTATTTTTGTTTTTTATTTTAAGCTTTCTAATTAATGACGACATTAAATAAAATTATTTAAGTATCTAAGATAAGTTAAAAAATCCTTTCACCAGTTTAACAACTACTACATAAATTACAATCAATAATTTCATTTTTTTTATCGAATTTCGACTCGCTCATAATACGCGTTACGCTTTTCGGCTTTGACAATGCTTTCCCGCGTTTATACCATTCCCCGTTTTAATGCTCGCAACACAATACGCCGGCAACGCTGCTGCGCTCCGCAACGCAACGCATCGCAACTGCAATGCGTCCTTCTCGCGCCTACAACTACAACACTCACAGATGATTACGTGATACGCTACAAATGTCAAAGAGGTGATGAATTTTACGTTTACTTTTTAACAAGAAAATTAAAAGAACAACAAAAATGTAGTAAAATCTAGAAATAGTTGTAGAAATTGCAAACGCGTCCATTGGACTATATGCTTCATTAGATATTTATACAGCGTTATACGTACATTTTTAGAACGCGTGTCTTGGAATGCTTGAAATGCTTTTTTAGAACCTTAACACATCTGCTATGCCTTATTGTCTAATTATATGTACCTATATACTTAAATAAGAGGTTTAACAATATTACCTATGAACCCGGTTATTTAGATTTATGTTATGTACCGAATACCCCTAATAATCAGCATCTAGAATAAATAGTTGCATGCCTGATTCCTTGGGTAATTTTCTAGAAGTATTTTAAGAAACAATTCGCCACAATTACTAGTAAGCATTAGCACTGCATTTAAAATACTATTAACAACAATAACAATCCTAACAGCAAACACTCTCTAGCATAAGTATACACCCCACTAAATGACACCTTTACTATTGGGAGGTTTTTGATACGCCGCTAATGCATCTAAATTTTACTAAAAATGCGCTAAACGAAAAATAACAGAAAAATAAAATTGTAGTTCTTAGCTAAAAATTATTATTATTTCACATTTTTTTAAAGAATATTTTCGAATTTTACAACAGTTCGTCCACAATTGAAGTCGACCGGCTACCAATCAGAACCCGAGCCCAATTACGATTCCGACTACTCCACAGTAAAGTATCGAACATTAGATCGCCGACGTTTGCAATCGGTCTCATCGGCCACGAACGTTGCGAATCGCCACACGAATACATACCAGGACGATAAGTAAGTATTAGTCGTATGTAGGCTAAAGATAGCGTTTAATTGAAAATTAATAGATGATAAATAATAAGATAGGTAGACAATAGATCAACTTTCATATAAAATGGAAAATAAGTTTTTTTTAATCCTCCGGCGTTCTAAGCTCTCCAAGTGAGATCTTTGTTAGAACCGACCTTTTAACCTAACCTGACCTTCCTCTGATCTCGCGATTCGTAATAAACGCTTTTTGTAAATTATCTACTTGTATTCTCAATAAAGTTGACTCCGTTTTTCGCATGTCCGATACCGATTCAGTTTTATTTGGATTAACTGCTAAGCCGCTTCTTTCCGTTCAGATAGCTACCACATTGAGGTATCTGGGAATTTCCATTTAACCATGAGAGCAGCATCCTCTGCATAGGCTGTCATCCGATAGCCTCGTCCTTCGAGTCATTTACCACTAAGATGCAAAGTAAAGGAGACAGAACGCCATCTATTGTCCCTTCATAGTGCACGCACACTGCTCCACTACGCTACGACAGTTCTGTCACAGAGAAGATGCTTGAGATTTAATTCGACATCAAACCTCTCCAGAGTACTAATAAGCGCTTCCGCCCACAAATCAAGGCAGCGTTACATTCTCTATACAAATTTTTCAGATTGAATATCTAATGCTATAGATAGAGATAGAGCTGTCATAGCATATAAATATGCTAGCAGAAAAGCTTGTGTTCCCTTTTTGACTGGGTTGCCGTTCACATACCTATATGAATAAAATTCATACTGTTGGAAAGGAAAAGGCGTGCAGAAATGCACAAAGTTATTTTTTGGCATGTAGGGGAACACAGGTAAAAATTCAAATTTAGCGACTACAACAACTACAAGCGCGGTGGCGCATTTAATTGATTGGTGTTATTTCTCCTTTGCGCTTAACACAGTCGTATACAGAAGTACATTTCGTCACTGTTCTGTATCAGTAGCAAATACATACATATATCCGATTATTTACGGCGGATGTGTGGTTGCGATTTTTTTCCACTTTTAATTGTGTTTTGACTTTTCATGTTACACCACTAAATTCTGTTACAATTACATTTCAAATATTGTTTGTGAAAACAAAAAACATATCGCCTACCGAACATACAAATTTTGTTCAAATTCTTCAATAAAATTTAAATACTATTAACATTGTTAAAAAATTGTATTTTCTAATGGTCGAATTACGATAACTGGCGACCTTAGTCAAGATAAAGACGCTATGACACATTTAGCTGTGAAGGGGTTATAACTTCGGTGCAGCCCAAGTTAACGTTTTTTCTTGTTATAATTTTAAAAATTAATAATTATATTAATTTTCAATTCTTAAAAATCACATCAATTAATATTCCTTATGTTATACCACTTTCAGATTATATGGTACTATGCCAAATCCGATTAAATCGGAACAAAACACGTATAAAAATCAACCTGGACGCATTGAAGACTACGTAACGGGTCGTTCATCAGTCTCAGAGAAGGAACGCAAAGAGGTATAAATATAAAAGAGCGAACAACTCGTTGCAAAGAAAAAATTTTTAACAACCTATTGAAATTCAATAAAAAGTAAATTCAACAGCAATTATCAAATGTCAACCAGGTTAATGCAAAGTAATGCAATCTAATTGCTGCGAGTAATCATACGTTCCACTTTAAGATCACACACACTACGTACACTATGTACCTGTATTTATTTGCATTCTACGCTATTCACTTTCACTTGCCGTTAACACTCGAATACTTATGCGATCAAATACATAACCAAACACCAACATATCCACATCAACACCTACGCTCAGTTATTAACGCTTTTAACCACATACATACATATACGATTATACGTGTTTCTATTTGCATAACAGTTATTTATAACGTAAATATTATTTACCTTGTCCGTGAATTTCGATTACGTTCGCTGTACAATACTCATACGTGTATAACAGTACTTATCACGTTTCCAGCCGATTATCGTCAAGGTTGCTGCAGTCGAAAACAGCAACTACAAATCTACTTAGTTTTATATACATATGTATAAACTTTTGTATTCTAATGCAGCTATTTTTGTGTTTTTAATTTTTTATTTATTATTTCATTTAACTGAATCTATTTTATTCCACGTTTTCTAGTGGTGGGACGAAGTGATGGACATCTTTAACGGGGTATGCATCACCTTTTTGATTAAACTTTAACTATTATTTGATACGAGTATAAAGATTGATAAATATGAGTTATGATGATATGATTGAAAAGCCATTAGATGATATGAATAATGTTTAGTTTAGTGTTATTTTGGTTGTGGGAATATTTTTTTTTTGATAATGAGGGCGTAGAAGGCTGAACACAGAGTAGTTTAGGTATTATGTTCAGTTAAACATAAAAATATATCTGGTTTTTAGTAACGGTACTGCATGTATTAATGATTATTTAGGCAAATATTTATCTTAGAAAAATGGGAAGTACTTTTACAAGAAAATTTTAGCAATAGCTTTAGCCGTTCAGTTTCTTAGATAGCTTCGAAAACTATCCTTAGAACCGAAAACCAAAAATTTGCCATTGATCATCGCTACGGTCTTCATCGGCCTGTAGCAAAATTTTAAAAGTGACTGAGCTCTCTATTTTAATGCAGATTATTAGAAAAATCAAAAAACTTTGATTGAGGAAGCGATTGATTTTGCGTAATTTTCTCTGCACTATTGGCTTTCTAATATAATTCACTACTAAAATCAGTGGCCCTAAGTGGTTGGGGAGATCGAGAACAATTTCTCGCGGGCCTGCAGTTCTCAGTGCCGCACGGTGCTCTACAATAATTTTTTGCAGATTTTCTCCTCCAAAAATTGATGGATCAGGGAGCCCGCATCCCATATACTCCCCGGTGTTTTCTCTACGGCCCTGACTTATATACCTGTGTATAGTGGTTTTTGAATCGGAAAAGAGAACATAGAAATGACACAAAAAAATTAAATCTACGCTTAAGCTTATTGTTTGAAAACTGAGTTCTCACAACTCTGATCTGTAAAATCCCTCTATTAAGAATTTTATCGTAACTCTCGACGTTTTTAAAAAACAAAAGCAAACTATCAAAGTTTGTTTGAGATCAGAAAAATACATATATGTATGTTTTCTTAAAACTACACATGTCTCAGCTAGATTTATGATCTATAAGTGCCAACCTCTCGCACACTAATACTCACTTTTATATATAATATAATAATATGTAGCTAGAACTCTTTTAAGATTCTGAAAACATACTCGTTTAGTGATTAAGTGCAATATTAGTATTTTTCTTTCTACTGAAATCACCTTTTCACAATAAATCTTGCTTCACTAATATTTACTGTTTCAAAATAATTCTATATCTGGAATTCGCTAACTTGTTAAGTGGTTAAGGGAGCATCGTGTAATTCCGCGTATATTCATCGAATTCGCCGATGATGTAACCGTAAGTTCACCACAATTTCATGTGCACTTAAATAACTTACTATGCGAATCACGAGTGCATTATATAATATAATATATAAAGCACACAAATACTCGTATTACGTAGCGTAGAAAGCACTGCACTGAACGTACACTTTATAGGTTTTTTATAAAAACTTGGATAAAGGAAACTTATAAGTGTGATATTTTTTGCGTATTGGACAAGGCACCTGCACTTTATCGCGTTGCAACTACATACTATTTTTAAATGACTTCTTTAAATGAGAGAAATAATCAACACCACTATTTCGTTTATTATGATTTTGAGCGATTTTTTTAGTTTTGCTTTACATTTTTATAATTTTTTAATTATTTATTTTTTACTATTATTATTTTATAAGTAATTGTTTGAACTATGTATGGTATATAATTAGGAAGAAAAGCTTTTTAAGTTTGTGGAGTGACGATTGATTTAATTATGTGCTATAAGTTATTATTTAAAGATCACATTCAAAAAGCAAAGACTCATAACAAATAAGTTTCGGGCACTTTTTCATTGTCGGCCGAATTCTCCAACCAATGGTTTAAACCGGGTTTCTACAGCAAGGACGGTGTGAAAACATACCCAAAAAATCGTAACAAATTTTTTGACGAAAAAATAATTTCATTTCTGCACATTCAACGCTCAAACTTAAAAAGCTTTTTTTCATATAAACATACCTATAATTAAATTTTTGTTAATAAAAATGTATTCTTAAAACTGCAATCGACGCGTTAAAGCCTTCACCTCAACAATGTATTAACATATTTATTCTCTTCTCACTTTTTAACACACTCCGTTAACTAACAGCACTTGGAACAAACAAAGCTCTCGCCGCACTATACTGAAGGAAATCTTTCCAGGTAAACCACGCAAGCATACACATAAAGTATATTTAAGTTAATCGCGTTTTTCACAATACTTTTGTAGAGCCTTAGCCAAAGAGTCTGGTTACGCAAGTGATTCAAATTTGGTATTCCGCAAGCGTGACGTGCCCCAAGCTAGCCCACTCAGCCCGGTCGAACAAAAGCAGGCTTATAAGAGCGTGCAAGCAGGTGGCGAACCGCCTTTATTCGGGTTTAGGAAACCAGCACCGGAAAGACCAAAAGGTAAGCCCCAAAAATAATAAATTTGCATTCGAAAGCATATTTTGTAGATTTTGTTTTTGAGATTATTAATATTGTATAATTGTTGATACTAACACTGGGTACGAGAACAAGGTTACGTGCATACTAAAATCGATTTTAAATGTTTAGAATCACTTTATCATACTGTTCTAGAATGCACACTACCAAATACACAATACCAAACACAACAAAAAACCACACGGAAAGTAATTAGTATAACTTCTACATAGGTTAAATCCGGTGTGGTCTCAAGTGTAACTGATCCCTAAAACACAATTTGAATTGTTTGATATTAAGTACAACTACCGTTAAGTTAATCTGTAAATTAGAAATAATTCACAAATACAAACGCTCAACATGCGCATTATAAGTTTCGCGCACAAAAAGTTATTTCTTCACCACGGAATCGCACCGCACCGTTTGGAAAGTAACTCACAAAGTATTGCCAAACTAACGGCTACCGCAACAAATTCTAATGTATACATTTAAATTATTCCATTTTTGAAAACGTCAAAAGAATACCTCGACTACACACAAATCTCGCCAACATTGACCAGAATTCGCGTGATCTCAACAGCACCAGCGAGCGATAATACTGCTAGCAAGAATCTGAAATCTAGCCAAGTCACACACCAACAAGCGCCTCCTCTACAATTGACGCATATCAAAGTTCACCACCAAGCGAAAATGTTCACGCCGTCGTTCATACCGCTCGGCGGTAAGCGTACCTCCAGTACGGGCGGTGCTTCACCACCACAACCACCGAATCGTAAATCGTCGTGTCAAAAGGTGACAGCAAAGACATCACCAGCACGTCCACCGAAGCCAACCCCGGTCATACCGAAACGTCATGAACAATGTTTTCAAAGCCCCGAAGAAACCGTTTTGGGCGCCAACAAGTATGCAACAATTACTTTGCGCAAGCACGGTCGCATTAATGGCGCTGTCTGCCGCTCAAAATCTGCTGGCGCTGTTTCAACATTGTTGGCGGCTACAAAAAGTCGCGCTGAAACACCTGCAGCACCGAGAGCACTCAGCATTTGTCGCGATGATTCAAACGTTCCCGATGGCATTAGGCTGAAACGTGTGCAACAACATACGCGCTTTCGTTCGATTAGCCCCACACGTTCGCAAAGTCGTGTAGCGACCTTACGTCAATCGAGTCGCAGTCCGGTTGCTTTCGGACGTTCGATCTCGAAGGAGCGTACATTTGCCGAAGAAAAGAAGCGTTTGGAGAATACTCTGCCTACTGGGTTGACAAATTTTGAAGCCAGTACTAATATTTTACGCGATCCATTACTCAAGTCACCGCAAGAGGTGAAACAAGCCGTGCGCTCATATGCCACATGTGTGGCACATCTGCGTAGTAAGTCACTGCCACGCCTTAGGGAGGAAATAAAGAAGACGGAGAACTCTAGTGTTAGCACCACAGTACGTCATTCAATGTGTTTTCCACAGGCCAAAATATTCGATTGTGCCAAAGCAGTGCGTAAATCATTGACTCGTTCGAAGAGTCCACGCCCGAAAACGGTATCTACGGTCAGTCTTGCACGCACCGATTCCACCTTCTCCATAGACTCTACAGCGCCTAAAAACGTAAGTAGAACTAATTTAGTGGTTGCGAAACGAGTTGTACCGACCAAGTCTAAGCCTGAAAGCAAGTCCGTCAAAACAAAATATGTAACCCAACAAAATGGTAAGCGAGTTTCCGCTTCGACGAAGGGCAACACAATACCCAAAACGGTGAAAACGCGTAGCTCATTAAAGACACAAACTTCGCCTACAGTTACCACTTATAAGCGCGTGGAAGATTCGCATACTATACCACGGAGCGGATATCAATCAATAACTCTACATCAATCACGTAGTCTCAGTCCAAAGCGTTACTATCACCTAGAAGAGTATAACGCCAGATTAGACGATTACGATGTAGTGGATCGTAGTTATGTAGATGATTTACTTTGGCAATATGAACGTAGTACTGCTAAACGCTACCCACCACAGGCTACGCCAGTCGAGGCAACTGCAAGAGATATCGCACGCCCCGAATCCCCCACACCAAGCTTGAAATATAGAAAGTTTTCTCCAACTCGTGAAGTACGTGTGCCACAAGAGCCCAGAAGTTTGCAAGTTTCGTACAGCAAAACCGAATCACCGAGGCCGGACGTAGAGTTGGTGCGAACTGGCATTAGTACCGAACGCACCAGTAGAGTTTCTCCAACACGTGAGGTACGTATGCCAAACTTGCCTCCGAGTTTGCAACCCGCAATGCAACGTTCGAAGTCTTCACGAACTGTACGTGATATTGCACGACCGGAATCACCCGCTATTGCGGATAATACGCGACGATTCTCACCCACACGCGAGATACGTGTGCCACAACCCCAACAAAGTTTACCACCACCATTGCCACCAGTTTCTTCCGCACACGCAGTGCGCGGTGCAGTACGCTCTCCTTCGAGAGACGAGAACTCCACTTTGCGAAAGTTTTCGCCCACACGTGAGATTCGCGTGCCTCCACAACAGAGTGCACGCAGCGTACGTTCGCCTTCAAGACGTCGCATAGACACCTACCGTGCCAGCACCACAAAATCTACAGATAAATACGATGCTGGTAAAGTAATAAGAGCCAGCAGTTTGAGCAGTGCCGATGATCGCTCCAAGCGGGGTCTCTATCTTTGTGGTGAGTTGGCGCACAGCGCTACCTCGCTCGAACATTATGAACGGCACAGCCCCACATGCCGTTATCGTAATAACTCCGAACGTTTTACGGAGTTGAATAGGTTCTACAGCACTCTAGAGCGAGTCGGTCAGTTAGAGCGTGCTACCTCATTATCATCCTTTAAACCGATACGTCGAGAGGGCGAGCTTTTAGATTTTGATGAGTGGCGTAAGATAAGACATCATGAACGTGCAGAGAAGGAGCTAAACTATTTGGTAGGTAAGCTTAAACACGAACAACGTACAAAGGATTTTGTGTTTCGTCCCAAAGACGTGGAGGACGTAAAATGGCGTCAGGATACAGACTTTGGCTTGCACTCAAAAGATAAATCCGTGGAGGACTTACGATATACTTTCGAACAAAAGAATATCTTCGCTGATTATGAACAAAAAATGCGTCAAGAGTTTGATGGGTCACATGAAATTGTGCGCCCTTACTGGCGTCGAAACACTGTAGCAGATTTGGCTTCCAGTTTGGAAGTCAAACTCCAGCCACATGGTGTAGTCGATCACAAGGCAGCAACAGCAGAGCCTGAAGAGCTCGCAAAATGTCAGTTAAGCAGCCATCTCGTAAGCACGCTCTCCAAGGATCAGATATTGAAGATTACACAACAATTAAATGAAATCTATGCAAACAACACGCATGCCACTTCGGAAGATTATGTGATCACTGTAGATGCGGATGCTAAGAGACGAGCCGCCCTACCGGGTGCTCTCAAAGTGCGATGTAACTCCACATTGACGAAAGAAGAACTTTTAAAGCCGACGATTAGCAAAAAATTAGCAAAAGAAACTACAACTAGCAAAGAGCACATAAAAGATAAGGCCGCAAAACAATCCACTTCGATAGAAGCTACCGTTAAAACCGCACGTAGCAGCTCGCCAGTGTATCTGGCGCGTGAAACTCGTGGAGCAGTTGCTGCAAAAAATGCTGAAGTTTTTATGCCCAAACCACCCCCAATACCAGAACAACCCAAATCTGGAAAACTAGATAGGAAAACCACAGAACAATGCGAACATACAAATGTAGCAACCGAGCCATTTAGAAATCATGGGCACTATGAACAAGTCGAGGAGGATATTGAAAAGGAACAACTTAGGTCATATGAACACTCGCCGACCGGAAAAGAACCGAAGGAAAAAATCACACAGAAGATACAATACTTTGAAGAACGTCAATATGATGAACCACCAACGACAATTTATCATGCACGCGAAGACTCTTCTCCGGACGAAGCCGAAGTAATGAAGGTAATTGAAGAAAATATGAAATCGCGCGCACGCAAAGGAACTCCAACGCCAGCACAGCATCATCATAAGGAGCTTAGTCACTCTTTAACCGATTTAAAGGATATTTTTGGCGAACGCCACACAGCACGTGTAAATTTTCACATGCATTCACCACCCGAGCGGCCACCCGACGTCGGGAGCGTGTCTCAACCCACGAGTCCAGTGCATGATTGCATGGAAGTGACAGAGGATGCTTGGTATGATTTAGGCGAATTGACGCCAAACAGTGGTGTTGAGCAGCTGGATTCACACTATCGCTCACGGAGCATTTCGCCCGTCTCGCAGGCCTCATCCTCTTACCTATGTCGCGTACACACTGGAGATGTACGTAAAATGAAGGAGCGTTTCGAAAGTTTTGGTGCACACGATGATAGTCGGTGTCATTTTTTTGGGGTTAGTACGCTGAGAAAGGTGCGCAGCGATCCTGAATTGCAGCAATTCAATACAGGTTCAAAAGACGCCTTAAATATGGAGACCACAAATGAAGAATGTGGTGATGTACAAGCGCTGGCACACAAATTCGAACAACGCAGTCAGAGCATGCGCGTACGCACCGGAAGTGGACGTGGACGTGGACGTACACCATACCGTCGTGTAATCTCGCCGATAGGTGTAAGAGATCGGCTTATGCCGCATATCGATATAATAAGTAAAACAGCTGCCCTAAAAGAGAATAAGCATGCGACACAGCGGCGTCTAGCAAAAGCAGCACCCGAACGTAGTTGTGTCGTTGAAAAAATACGCAGTCAGTATGAACGTAGCTTATCACCGCCAACAGACGTGTTTAAATCGCGCTCAAGCCCGGATATACTACAAGCAGCAGCCATTTCACCACATCTGTCGGCGGACTGGATTGCACACAAATATCCAAGCCCAACCCACAATGCCTACAAAGGAAACGGAATTGCAAAACCGATAAGTAAAGAACGCACTTCAGTGCGTATAGCAAAAATTTTGCGAAGACTGCCGCCACGGTCGAGTTCGGCTTCGCCGCCAAGACCACCGAAAACCCTGCAACATGGTCGTGACACCTCGCTATGGAGAATGCATCGTAGCGATATATTCGCAAATCAACAATTCGATCCGAAGAAGCATCAGCCGAAGGCACGCTATGTGCCAGACGGCGCCGAGCCAAGTGAGCGTAAGCGTGCCTCTTCGCATCCACGTTGCGGTGGCAGTTGTGAGATACTCAAGAGTGCGATGGCGGTATCATTTCAAGGTTTTTAAAATATAAATTTTCAAAATATGCACAACTTATGATGATACTTAGAAAGAGCACAACAATTAAAGTGATTTAAAGAGCTATCAACCTTTAAAACTATTTCTCAACAATGTTGATTGGGTTGTGCGTAATCAAAGAGTTGAAGAAACATATTTTAATTATTAGTCTTTAATAATGAAACTCCAAGGTTTGGGCTCATAACATTCCACCTGCCTATTTATATATTTACTTATGAAACTTGCATGTTTATTTATAACCAATAGGACCCTTATGAGTACTTAATGTATTTAAATAATTTTTTTTTCTCGTGCCATTGTTACACATCCATCTTCTCAGTAATTAGCAGCTCTAACTGCTCTTTATCTTTTACGTACATAATATTCGTATTCGCTTTGGTATTTGTGTAAGAGTCTTTACATAATGGTTGACTGATTCGCTGGGTTATACCGTTTTTTGCTGCTTTGGCTTCATTAGCTTACGCGTTTTCACGCCCTCTCCTTATCTATATCTCTATTAACATCTTCAACTTTTAAATGTCCTTTTTCATGTCCGCTTCCTACGTTCTAAACACGTTATCGCAGATGACGGTAACGAACCACCAGTACCACCAAAACCCAGTGGATATCGCGCAGGTGAGTTGTTACATACATATATCTGCTATTCATACAAGATTTAAGGGATGATGGGATCCTCATTACTATAATATATGTTAAGTTTCGCTAATTTCGCCAAGCATTCAAGAGTGGCTAATCGAACAAACAACTGGTATAAATCGGATATAGCAAGCGGTTATATGTTTTATGGTACGGGTTCCCGGGATCTTTAAATTTAACTGGATAATATTATTATTACTTGCACTTCATGATAGCAGAACTCTAACGTAGCGAACAGAGAGGAAATGAATTGAGAACGGCTATAGTTTTCCAATGCAGTATGTTAAGTTTAAAGTACAAAAAACCTTTGGAAACCTAACAGCATATGCTAGTATGTGGTTTAAAATAGAACTGTAACCGATATTTCATTCAGAGACGAAAAGTCATAATTTTCAAAATAGTGGTAAAAAAATTACAAAAATTATATAAAAACTATTTATTTATTTATTAGTATTTAAAGTAAGCATTTTAGTTTTAAGCAACATAATGCATATGTGATCCTTCATAATTTTGAAGAAGCTTCCATATACAGTAGGTTATACGAATTTGATGCTGCAAATCAAAAATTAGTCTCACTCCAAGATCAATAATTTCCCTTTTTCTCGTAAAGCTGGTGATCCTCGCTACCACTCCCAATAGAGTTTGTATGTTGATCTTAAGGTTTTGTTAAAGAATAAAGTATAAACATTTGGGAAGAATGCGGTTTACAGATATTTTAAGCACTTTTAAAAAGCTAGACCGCTTAGAGCGTACTTCCGAATAAGGTATCTTACACACCTCGCCGTTTTCAAGTTTTATGTCGATCACGCTCGATCTGTTCTGATACGCGTTTCTCATTGCATTTTCCTTATTGCTCAGTCTTTTTTCGAGCTTCTGTAGGAAACTTGTAACGAAGCTTTTCTTCTGCCCCTGCTTCTTCTGATTTGCTGAGACTGTAACTAAAATCAACGCAACGAGTATTGGGCTGCAACGGGAAAATCACGCCACTTTTAGCAACACACGCCATCCTAAAGCAACATGTTGCGACACAACAGTTACATCACGCCACTTCTAGCAACACACGCCATCCTAAGGCAACATGTTGCCACAACAGTTAAATCACGCCACGCAAGCGACACAGCGAGTATTGGTCTGCAACGGGAAAATCACGCCACTTCTAGCAACACACGCCATCCTAAGCATCATGTGGCGAACGGGCGAGCAGCAACACACGCTTGGTGGAAAGCAAGCAGGCCGATCAGCAGTCATTCAGGATCGGACTGCGAAGGCGAGCACAACGCTGGACGGATGATTGAGGACAGGACCGTGAAGGCGAGCACAACGATTGGCGGGCTTTGAGGACAGGACTGCGAAGGCGAGCACAACGGAACTGGACACGGAAGGTAAGTCACCCCGAGACGCGTAGCACACTGGCAGGGTAGTATACGCGATAGTATACCAATTATCCAACGGGAGCGCGGAAAGGTAAGTGACGTTTCGTGCGGTAAGGAGTGAATGTCTCGCAGTGAGTCGATCCTCTGGCAGGCATTTCACTCCTTAACGTGGGAAGGCCGGAAGTCACGCGTGAAGTGGGTAGTGAGTCGATCCTCTGACCTGCTCCACGCTTGGCATCGCGGTCGCTGTCACTGCCCTCCGTAATTCCGCGTGATAGTGACGCGCTAACAAGTTACGAGAACCACTACCCTGTCGGGACGCCAGCAACGGGTGACGCTCCTATAACGCAGTTCCAGAGATCGTGAAGGAAACTGTCGGAACGCCAGCAACGGGCGGCGCTCCTAAAACGCAGTCCCAGAGAGTGTGGAAGTGGAAACTGTCGGAACGCCAGCAACGGGCGGCGCTCCTAAAACGCAGTTCCAGAGATTGTGGAAGTGGAAACTGTCGGAACGCCAGCAACGGGCGGCGCTCCTAAAACGCAGTTCCAGAGATTGTGGAAGTGGAAACTGTCGAACGCCAGCAGCGGCGGCGCTCCTATAACGCAGTTCCAGAGATCGTGAAGGTAAAACTGTCGGAACGCCAGCAACGGGCGGCGCTCCTAAAACGCAGCTCCAGAGAGTGTGAAGAAGTGGAAACTGTCGGAACGCCAGCAACGGGCGGCGCTCCTAAAACGCAGTTCCAGAGATTGTGGAAGTGGAAACTGTCGGAACGCCAGCAACGGGCGGCGCTCCTACAACGCAGTTCCAGAGATCGTGAAGGTAAAACTGTCGGAACGCCAGCAACGGGCGGCGCTCCTAAAACGCAGTTCCAGAGAGTGTAGTAATAATATACAATAAAGTACGTGTGGTAGTGTGCAATTCTAAATAAAGAGCGATTTGTAAAGAGCCCCATAGTTTACAAATTTATTGTAACGAACCCTGGACACGGCGAGTATACCTCAGCAAATCAGAAGAAGCAGGGGCAGAAGAAAAGCTTCGTTACAATTGGCGCCCGAGCAGGGACCCGGCAAATCGTATAACATCAGGAAAATGACAGATCTTATGTGGTTGGACAACGTATCTAAGGAGCAACTAATCTCCTTCGCAGAGAATTTGGGCGTTGACCACATAGGCACCACGCGGGAAATTCGGAAGCGCATAACTGCACTGGCAGCCAAGGCGCACGAGGACTCCGAAATACAAGAGAAATTGTTAAAAATGGAAGCTGCATACAAAGGAAATGACTTCGCTTCACGAGACGAAGGCGATCAGAAGACACCACTTCCACCAGATCAAGGCAGAGGAACTGCGGACATTTTCGCAGAATCATCACGACGACTACCGCCACCAATAAGCATGCCGAATAGCGGCATGTCGATGCAACGGAGCCAGATGCTTACATTCGCACCTATCATCGACCAGGTGAGGAAGTGGTCCGTAAAGTACGACGGCGGGAGAGACCCATTAGCGTTCATCGAACGATTGGAAGAGCTTTCCGAAGTATACGTAATAGACACAGACCTTCTTCCAAGAACCATGCCCGAGTTACTGTGCGGTACCGCTCTCCAATGGTATCGCAACAACAACGAACATTGGAGGAGTTGGAGTACCTTCAAAAGGGATTTTTTGCGATTCTTCTTACCAGCACGCTACTTCGAACGCCTCGAAGACGACATACGGCAACGAAGACAACACGTGCGAGAAAAGTACAAAGACTACGTCCTCGCTATGCAGAACCTAATGAGACACGCTGGATATAATCAGGAGCAGCGGTTGGAAAGGATCTTCCGAAACAGCCACACCGATTACCTACTCTACATTCGGCGTCGAGATTTCGAGACACTAGCCGAACTTATCACGCTTGCAGAAGAATACGAGAGCATCCATGAAGGACATCGGAGAACTGTAGAGACGGCACGCCGCGAGATGACGAGACACATCATAGGTGACCACGAGGTAAGAAATACATCACGGCCAGACCATCCACCCGTCCAGTCCGCATCAGCACGTTCGCAACAGCAGCACACGGTTTCTCAACACGATACTACGGTAAACGCGCATCACCAACAACCATCCACGAACCCAACCTTTATGCCTGGAAACACATGCAGGAGATGTGGCCAGGAAGGACACTACGCTAGGAGGTGCCGTAATCCCAGAAAGATATTTTGCTGGGAGTGTGGTCGAGCGGATGTGCTAACCAAAGAATGCTGCGGCCAACGACAGGGAAACGGCCGAGGGTTCCGCCAGGAGAAAGGCGCGGCGGACCCACAGAACTCAGCGCCGACACGCCAACAATTATGCATCAGGAACGCGGCCGGTTGTACGCCTTAATCAAGCTTGGCGGAGAACCGGCGGAAGCCGTCATCGACACCGGCGCCTCAAAAAGTTTCGTATCGTCACGACTTGCAGAACGTATGGACACGACCGGGAGTGGTAAGAAGGTTACCGTAGCCATGCAAATACAAATGGCCGACGGTACCACCAGCAAGATTTACGACGCCGTTGAAACCAACATCCAACTCGGACAGTCATCACTCCAAGCAGTGTTGCATGTTATGCCCGGTGCGATTGATGACGTCATACTCGGGTTAGATACACTGGGGAGTATGGGAGCTAAGATATCCTGCGGAGGTCATCAGGTAGTGCTGACAGCACCAGATGCGCAGCATACAGCGGCCTTCTACACCATGCCACCAGAAAAGGTAGGCAACGCAACGGCAACTACACCAAAGAGCCGACTACAAAAATCCAGTAGAACGAAGTGCAACAAAAGACGTAAACTAAAGTGCAGGAGGATTAATAGAGTCGAGCCTAGATCGACCATCAACGAGAGAAACGAAGCGGCCCGCATACGCGACTTCTTAGCAGAAGAGCTTCAAAAATTTGAAACCATGAGTGGAGTGACGACAGTGGCGGAGCATAAAATCACTATGACCGACAACCGCCCCATCAAGCAACGATATTTCCCACGAAATCCAGCGATGCAAGCGGTTATCAACAATGAAATCGATGAGCTGCTATCGAAGGGATT